GGGCATTTTGTATCCCTGCACACACTTCTCGTTGAAGGGCAGGCCAGTCAAAGATAAAGTTTTTAAATGAAAATACTTATTTCATAGAATCATAGATCTGTTAAGGTTGGAAAAGCCTGCTAAGGTCATCAAGTCCAGCTGTTAACTACACTGCGAAGTGTAACACCATTAAAGCACATCCCTAAGTGCTGCATCTACATGGTTTTTTTGAATGCTTCCAGGGATGATAATTACATCACCTGTCTGCACTGCTTGTTTTGTGTCTGGGATAAACTAGAGAGCGATAACAGAAAAGCAGACTGGCATAACTAAGTTCAGCTTGCTGAGGAGAGGCAGCCTAGTTAGTATTCTACAAGAAAGGAAGAAGGCCTCATGAAGCCAAAGTTTTTACCTGAAGTCTGCTCTAGATAGTCCTTGTACCAGTTCAGCTATGCCAGTACTGGTATGACTGAAATAACCGTGTAGGTGATACATGGGTGCATCAGTAGAGAAATGCCCTATATCAACTCCACCAGTTCTAAAGAAAAGGTTGAAAGCATGACCACAGCATGAGGGTGAAGGCTGCAAGAGAGGCACTACAGACAAGAGCAGGAAGATAAACAAACTCTTGATTATGGAGGCTGGCAGAACCTCAGGCCATTCCTCTTTGCATCTCATCCTTGAGAAGGATCACTGGAGCATCCCAGAAGTGCCTGGTGCCTTGTGTGCAGGGGATTGCTTTGCCACGGGTTGCACCTTGCTGATGCAAGGTGTTACGAGAACTAATATTTCAAAATAACTTTTTCAGAAGATAAATAATGAGGTAACTGCCTCTTATTTAAGTCCTAAAAAGGTGAAGGTTCCATGTTAGTGCTTTTCCGTGACCTCTCTGTAAAACTGTGCTGCAGGGCAGGTAATGGAGCTCTAACATAGTTGCTGAGTAAAGATGGCTGGGCAATTGTACTCTCAACATGTGATTCTCACTTGTGTGGCACTGGAAAAGGAAATTGTGCTTCCTTTATAAGAAGGACACAATATGCCTGTTCCTATTAATATTATGTGGCTGTTGGTTCTTGTTTGCTTCCATTATATGGAATTTCTAGCAACCACCCTTTTTGTTTAAGGGGGAACCGTGTATGTTAAAAGAGTAAGAGGCAGACAAAGTTCTTACAGAGACTAGATTGGGAGTCATCTTTTCCTTGAGGAGTTGTGCTTTGCCTGCAAGGATGAAGAAACCATCTTCTGTTTGTGTGAAGAGTTTTGTATTAAATGCGAAGACAGCAGCCTCCTGAAGTGAAATGAAAAATAAGAGGAGCTAAGAGAGCCTCCATTGTAAAGCCAAGAAAATCACTTTTGCTGATTTTCCCCCGTTACTTGCAAGGAGTTCGTAAATTATTTTAAATTCTGATTTTGGTCATGTTAATAATAAAGTTGGAATTCATCAGAAATGTGAAGGGGCAAGCTCACATACTTCTCAGGCTTTAGTTTTTTTGCGTTTTTTTCTTTTATTAAAAAAGACATAGGGGAATATATTATTAATGAAGCTATATATCATTGATTGAAGCTTGCAAATATTTTTTTTAATGAGAACTCCAAAAATACACCTTCAACAACAGATCAGTTAAATCTAATAGGATTTACTAGTACATATCAAATAAATCAGGAGACATTAAGTACAAGAAGAATGTTGTGGGAGTTGGTGTATCCATTTGCAGTGATGTGGTGGAGTCGTGGTATCCTGACCCACTCTGCCCAGTTGTGCCAATGTGCTGCTGGAGATCAGAACATTTGTGCAGCTTCATGATCGGGATCCAATCATGATCCCACTCAGAGAAGGTGAGTCTGCTACTCAGGCCTAGAAAATATGATCCTGTCCCATTCTAAATCCTTCACAATAGGGGTTTGAGTGCAAATAAGGTGATGTGATGGATAATGAGGCACTTGTCTATTTTTTTGCAAGAGCACGTTCATGTGGGAGTTGTTAATCTGAAAAGTTTCACTTGGGAGAGCATTTAATATGTTGTGATTGATAGGTATCTAAAAATATCCAGAACATACTTGAACAAGTGGAGCATTGATTTGCCCTTTTCTTCTTTAAATAGCTTAAGGTACTTGATTTTTTTTTTCAACTGTTAGGATTTTTTATGCAATGTGAGTGCTGCTTAACTTCAAGAAATGACTCTGAGTACAGTTCATAGAAACAAATGGCTGGAATTTGAACTATTATGAACTATGTTTTAAAAAAATGTACATTTGAGTAAGGACCAGAACAGACTTGATTTTTATAATAATTTCTTGCTTGTTGCCTGGTGGAGCAACCCACAGCTGGGTGTATACCAGCTGTCTACATTGTGCAGAAAATCAGAAATTTAGGCTGTCCTGTGTTTGTGGAGGTGGGGAGCACACACAATCTGCATTTCGGAGATGGAAGTTCCTCTGCAGCATTTGTGAAAGAGTGACCTCCCATCTCAGCTGTCCTTTTGGGATGATTGAGCTTGTGTGAGCCTCTTTTCTCAGGGCTTTTGGTCCTGAATTTACTGTTCTCATGTTCAGAAACATGACCTTACCAGCAAGAGGGTGGGCTCTGGGAATATGGTGGGTTGGTTATGCAATCTCACCCCCTCCTTTTACTTCAGAAAAGACAATATGTATTTCTATCCAGACAGCTATTAGCTGTCTGATTCTCATTTTTCACTTTTCTGATGAGTGATTTGGGTTTAACATCCTCTATGGAGCCTGGGGCAGGACATCCCTGCTCTCCTGCTTCTATAAATCTTGTGATTTTTTTTGTCTTAAGATAAATTAAGACAACTTGCTGCTGTCATCACTACTTACTCTCTACTGCTTCCCCTTTTCTTTGCCCTCCTCCACTCACCTCTGTCTTTTGATTATTGTTATCTGCATCAAGCAGCAGGAGGATAATGTGTTTGGTAATTTAGATGCAATCTGTTCTTTCCAGCAATTTTACTTGAAAAGTTTAGTTTTCAAAACTACTAGGCCAAGGCATCCACTCAAAGCTTTCTATTTGAGTAAATATTGTCGAAGCTTTATGCCCACATTGACCTATGGTATTTGCAGGAATGCCCTTTTTTTTAATACAGGTTTTATTTCTGTATAAAGATACAAAAGCAGCAGAGATTAGCTCAGAGAAGAATTCAAGGTAATTCAGAATATTTCACTTGCACATCCATGTCCAAACTGGGTTGTACACTAATCAGGAAGCAAGGAGCATATGCCTTTTTAATTGGATTGTTTTAAAATTTTATGCTGTCTGTGCAGTTTCAAATTATGGCAGTGATCCTGCAACACTGAGGTCAATGAGATTACTTATAGGCATAGTTACTCATGAGACAAGCCTTCTTAGACTGTATTTGGGAATCTGGGGAATCATGCAGAAGAAAAATCAGGTTTAAACTCAATGAGATTTTTCTCTTTTCTTTTACTAGAATTCATAATTTTAAACAATTTTGCTACCTTTTTAATATTTATGAGAAGCCCTGATCTTTTATTATACAAATTCAATTATTCATTGTCTCAAAAGATTGGGAGAAACTGAGAGGTTTTTTTTAATTTAAAGGGTGTCTTCAGTTTTTTTAATCTAGTATTTTACATTTTAGAAGAAATTATATAAATTGTGACTCAGAAAATCATCAGAATAGCATTTAAATACTTAAATATGGCTATGTCCTCAAGCTCACAAAAATAAAGTATAAGCTAGTGCTTAAGTGTGAATTGTTCACTTAAACTGGGGAAACAGAGGGAGAACATAATCCATGTTCTTAGATGAGGAAAATTCCAAGTTGAATTTATCCTATGAACTTCTCAGTCCAGGAAGGTTTTATTTTATTCTTTGTCTCAGAGAATTTGTAGTCCATAAGTCTGTTCCATGAATGTCCATTTTTTAATTTTGACCATGGAACAGTGTAAGCAGCTTCCCTCCTTGGTTTTTTTTTTTTTTGTGGTTAGGCCTGCTCTCCTGATGCTATGTGTTGATATAAAATGTGCAATCAGTATTTTAACATTCTGAAAATGCAGTGTAGTCACAAACCTTCCCAAGCTTCTTTTTCCTTTCCTCTTTTGGTATCCCAGCTGTTGAACTGAAGATGTTAGTACGAGGAGGTGCCTACACTTAGCACCAGGAGACATACAAGAGGGTAAAGTCAAGGTGGTGAAGTTGCTCTGGTTGATCTTCTCATCTCTGAATTGCAGATATCTATGCTACATTTTGTTTACATTCAAGCCTGGTCACAGCTGTTGTTACCCTTTCCTTTTCCTTGGACTTGCATGTGCTTGAGATGGATACTTAATTTCTTTTTTAAAGCAAGAGTTTTCATACCGACTTAAAAAAAAAAAAAAAAAAGAAAAATTCACAAAGTGCAGTACAGGGATAAGGTATTGCATAACCATGAAATAACCTCAAATCCAGCCAGTGGTGCAGACTGGGGGTGAGGGGATGAGGTTCTGCACAAGTTCCAGCACATAAAAAGTTGGAAATACCATGCATATCTGTCAGTTCATCCAGAGGAAGCTTTTGGAAAAAAACTTTCCAAGTAAGCCGAAAATCCTTTGCACATTACTACACTTACTGTACAGGCAAAGGTGATCCACGGCTGCCTTACAGCAGTTACTGCTGGGTGGTGCCTGTTCTGACATGACTTCCCAGATAAGAAGTGTCTTGAGAAGAAGAAATGCTCATTCTCTGATTCATCTGCAGAAGGTTCTTAATCTGAAAACAGCAAGGAGAGAACTCAAGAAGCAAAACTGTTGATACAGTGTAAAAAATAGTTTTCAACTAAAATGTTTGTAGTACACATACAGCTTAATGTGATTCCATATTTACTGTTCACCCGAGAGATCTACATCTCTAATTAGAAACTAGTTGTAAGATGCTCAGTTTCGCTCCTCACCTTGTAAAAGCTGTGAATTTCTGTAGAAAGTAATTTGAAAGCATTTAGATGAGAGATAATACCGTGTGTGTGTGGAGCCTTGTGATGAGATCGACCCATTTTTCTTCCCACCAGGTTTGGAGGAGACCAGCCCGTGTACATCAATATTATTAGAGATCCTGTCAACCGATTCCTATCCAATTATTTTTTTCGACGTTTCGGAGACTGGAGAGGAGAACAGAATCACATGATCCGTACCCCCAACATGAGGCAGGAGGAAAGATATCTGGTAGGTATAAATAAAAGGTTTTGATTACCAATTTCCCATCATTGTTATGTAGTGCTGTTACTCAAACTGGACGCATGAAAAGTGGGAGACTAAGGCATCTCCCATCTTGTGTTTTTCCTCTGCCTTCTCTTGCCTCTCTTAGTTTGCTTAGCTTTACTGTGTAGAGTGTTGCCATTGAATTCAGTTTGATCTTGAATAAGCTGACAGCAAGTTCCAGATTTCCACCACTGAATTATGGTCCTTACACTTAGCTGGATTTGCACTGCATAGTAATATCATAATTCTGCCCATATTTATCACTGTGAATATTCAGACAGATTTTTAGGTTCAGACTATGTCTGTAACTCTTCAGCCTGAGAAGAAAATTGGGAAACAGAGCAATTCAGGGAGCTCAAGTCTCTGATGTTCTTACTGCTAAGTTGTTTGTCATGTTCTTTACACCAGGGCTCTAATCTCATTTCTTGCTTTGGTTTTCTTCCTTTTGTCCTTTTTGGGTTAATATAGTGGCAATAATGCTGAATAAGCTATTCATAAGAAGTTTTAAATTGTATGACTGCTGAACTGTCATAGCACCTGCCAGCTTTTGTTGCACACCAAGGTCCTGTGGCAGTAGGTGTTGAATGAATGCTAAATAAGAAACTGAGAAGCTAGGAAGGTGGCTAGTTTGGTTTATACTGATTGCTTTGCATGTACACAGACACCTCTCTAAAAAGGCAAAATGGTGGAATTACTTCTTGCTCTCTCTCTAATACAGATCCAGTTGGATTGGACTCAGCCTTCAGGCATGCTTGAACTGCAGAGAGTTCAATGAAACAGCAGTGACAGGACAGCTTGATGGTCTGCTATGAGATGTTGCAGGCCAGACATAATGTCAAAACAAGATATGTCTGTGACTTTTGGAGGAGAAAGAAAGGATGTTTTTGTGAGGTTTTAAAGAGGCTGTAGAGTACAAGATGTGTGATGAGCCATAGAGAACACAGCTCTGAACAATTGCCACACAACACCTTTCAGCCCTAGCTGAAGTTAGATGAATCCAGGGAGGGCTGGGTTTTTTCCCCATATTACAGAGCTGTTTAAATTTCAGTTGTCTTCTGTTTTTGGTCATGCAGAGCCCTGTGAACAGACAAGCTTGTACATTATGAGTAATTGAAGGGGAGGTATCAGTTAGGGGGAGTGTAACTGTCTAATAGCCTTAAGTTTAATGACATCTCCTATGCAGGTATAAACTGTGAAAGGTTTCTTATTTGCCATATGTCTGTAGATCTGAAAGAGGTCCCTGTGTTGGCTGGGTGGGTCTTGACCTCCTGTTGCAGAGCTGGAAGGTTTTGCATGTTGTGTGTGCATGGACTTCTGCTTCATCTTCTCTGAATGGGACAAGAGGGTTGAGAAAATTATTGATTGGTGGGGGTTTTTACTACAACTTTAAAACACTACTATGTTTTCTTTGTTGGAAATGAGTGCTAGAGCCTGTTCTTTACTTTGAGTGCCTTCTTATTTGAAGTGCAGTGATTGGCATCTCTTATGACTGACTCTGTAAAACCTGGTATTATTTCAGTACTGACTGTGCAGCTTAAGACATGAAATATATATATATAGCCAGTGAAATTTTACTTCAAGCACAACTGGAAAAAACAGATCGAATTCATGTTGTCTTGGTTTAAAAACTAATAGAAATTACCTTGCATTTTCATTGGTGTTGGTATGTTCTTTAAGAAGTTAATTATTTATATGCATATGCAGATATCTATGCATACACAAATCAGTACAAAAGCTATAATGAAAAATAAATAAAAAGTGTCTGAAGTCAATAATCATTTTGTTCAAAAGGCAGTTTGTTGATCTGAGGCACCATTAGCATCCTTAATAAAAACTAGTTTTGCATTTTCATTTTGATTTTCTCTGTTGGTAAGTCAGTTTAGAATCCTGGAAACAATTTTGAACTTGTTTTCCATCCTTCCTTGGCAGACTTTGGCAGTCACTTGCACTGCTCAAAAAGAGTGACAGTAACACACAGGTCACTTGCCAGTGAAATTGTCATGAAAGCTACTGATTCTAAATGTTCAGCATTTTTAACAGTTGAGCTATCCAAACAAATCATATATTGCATGCCTGCATTTTAATCTTTTCCTCAGTTGTGCAAGAAAATCAGCTGACATATTTCTTAAAATTCAGATATTGAAGATTTTGGAATCATAGCTTCAGAAATCTGCAAAATCAATTGTCAGATCTAGCTATGAAGAGAGTAAGCAGCTGGTTTTACCTCTGAGCATGAGCCAGTATGCCATTTTATCACAGGACTGATGGGTGGCTTCATTGCAGCTCTTGTAACTTTTGCAATTCTTCCCTAATATTCTTTTAAATTCAAAACTCACCATGAAACATTACTCTTTTTTTATGGGGACTGTTTAAGGATAAACTTAGATTTAACATAATAAATAGTTTCAACATTGATCACAATATTAAACCTAAGTTGCTTGGGATGAGGTGTGCCTGACCATGAGCAGATACATGAAAGCAGGGGGGGGATACAAGCTTTTACTTCTCTTCTTCCATCAGCCAGGAAAACACATAACTGCTGATTGATCCATGACACTGAGCTCTTTGCTGGAGTACTTGATGTTGTGTGATAGCAGTTATAGACTTAGAAAATGGACTGGAGAAGCTTTAAATATTACTTTTCTGTTTTACCAGAAGAGATGGGTTTGCAGGCAAAATATATTTATCTGGAAACTGGTTCTTAGAGGCTAACTGTGCTTTTATCAACCATGATGTTTTTGGCCTCCTATCTCTTGGACAGGAGTGGGTGGTGGGGAAAATGGGAACTTGCCCAGGCCATCTTGGCATCTTCATCAACAGCTGCCAACACTGGCCATCTCCACTGAAAAGATGGCCATACATCCACATTCCCCTCAAACTACAGTGTGAAGATGTAGGAGCTCAGCTCCTCTAGAAAGCAGGCTCTTAGGGATGGAAAAGCATTTTAAGATCAGGTTTTGTGTCTGATAAACTCCAGGTTGTGATGCCCTTGGTGGAAGCATTCCCTCCCCTCAATTCTGATCCTTAAGAAAAAAAGGGAGTTGAAGAAAACCCAAACTATCTTCAAGTCTTGTAGTACCTTGCATTCTGTTCTTTTAACATTGAAAATCTGAAGTGCTGATGTTGCAAAGGTCAGAAATAGAGACAGAAATTTCCGCTGTTCACTGATCATTTGAAATTTTCTCTGAATTGAGCTTCAGGCTTGGACTTTGTTCCAGGAAACACAACCATTCATTCAGAGTCAGATAAATTGTTCTAAACATTTTGGTAAATGTCTGTGTTTATCAAAATTTAATTGAAAACAAGTCTTTTATTCATGAGTCAGATACAGCAGAGGCAGCTGCTGCAGTGTGTGACTTTTTACCCAGATCCACCAGCTCCTTGCCCTGACCTGGCACTTTCACTGCTGGAGTGAGTATTGTTAGTCACCTGAAGAAATCACTTCCAAGCTTTCCCCTGCAAAAAAACAGTGGCAGCATGGTAGTGTGGAGGAAGGCAGAGAGGTAATTAATGGTGAGCACCTTGAGCCAAGCCTCAAGAACACTGATGTGACTGTCAGCCCTACATTATGGTCCTGTAAGATGAGATAAATTCACAAAAGTTAATTTAAATTAATTATAGTGAATGTGTTTCAGGTTGAACTAGAGTTCTTAGAGTAAATATGCTTCAGTAAAGCAAGCAAACCCTTACCAATGCAGTTGAGTGCTGCAGGTACCAAGCAAAAGAAAAACATGCCTGAGATGTGATTTAGTTCAGGGCTTAAAAGTGCAGAAGGTAAGAAGCACCCCTGATTAAGACAGACTACTATAATATTTTAATGCTTTATATTAAAATTGTTCCTTCCAGAAGACTTGTTTGTAATTATCTAGTGTTTAGTACAGCTTCAGTTTGAGATACCAAATATAAAAAAGGCATGTATAGGGTTTTCATATTTTCTTAATACTTGGTAAAACTTTGATCCAAGACTACTCAGGCTGAATGAGTGTTTGAAGCAGCATGGGCTGTGTGTTGTTGCCTGAATTGCAGGAAATCTGGTTACATGGGATTCTGATTGCTGTTAGGCTCATGAATACTGTGACTCCTCGCTCACTCCAGTAAAAGATTTCTGAGCTAATGTATCATAAGTGAGAATTTTTGAATTTTAAAAATCATTCAATAAGATAAGAACTTGTCACCTTCCTATGGGATATTTCACATTTTCATTATAATTAGCAGTTACATTTGCACGGCATCTCTGGGTGGCTCTGCATAGTTTTTCAACTTCATCTCTGAAAATAAATATGCTTTTCTCAGCAAAAATTAAAAATATTCTAACAATATTCAGCTTCATTTATTTTAAAGATTACTCATGGAAGTGATCCCATAAGGGAGTATCTGTCCTTTTGTCTTTGAAATGAAATGTTAAAATAATTGTTTAAAATGTATTAGGATTACTTTAAAAGGAGGGAAGTAAAATTCAAGTGTTGTTGGGGAAATTTCACATCAAATTTCTTGTAATAGGAAAAAAAAATCATTTTGCAATGTTAGCTTTTATGGCTAAATACTTAAACTAATGTTTTTTAGATTACTTCATAAATTTCAAACAAAATAATAAGAAAAGGTGAATGGGTAAACAACATAGAACGTTTTTTGAGTCTTGAATCTTGAGAATTTCCTTTTATGATTTCCATGGTTTTCATTAATATAAAAATATTCACTTAATATATTTAACTGGTTTTATTATTTATATCCTCAAACTTCTATCTACAATAAAAAATATTCTTTTCTCAATTGTACTGCTTTTCAGACAGCAGCTGGCTGTCTTATTTCCTATGTTTATCTGCATAACACCCTGGGTAATTATATTATGAATTGCCATCAGTAGTTGCCATCAGTTGTCATCACTGAGCTTTCCCCTTCGTGACTTCAGATAAGTTTCCTCAAGCTTTTCAGTTGCCAGACACGTGGCCTGCAGGAGAGACCAT